TTTTTTTTTTTTTTTTTTGGTCTTTCGGTCGCACATGTTTTCCGTGAAATTACGAGGGATTTAAGGTTTTTTCTTTTTTCCTTCTTTTTTTTTTTGGTGTCGAGTATTCGACGTAATCGGCAAATTTTCAACAATCTCTTCTTAGAAGCGAAATGACTCAGTCATTTGCATTTTAATAATCATTATTGTCCTCTTAAGTTTTCGCTTAGCTACGAAACTTAGAAAACTCGATTCGGATAAAACTTTTACACATGTTTCGTTACGTCGATCGAACGAGTGCCATTTCTACTGGAAACTCGATTTCTGATTGAAAGGGATTAAAAAGAACAAGCACACAACGGGATAGAATTTATACCGGTATATTAGTAGTCAGAACTTGAGTAATATTCCATTAACAGTTACTGGAATTTTCATTTTCGTTTGTTATTGTTATCGCTTCTGTTACGACTTTACTCCCCAGTCTTCCTTGATAAAGTCCGCAGCTCTTTCGCCGACCATGTTGACCGAAGCGACAGGATTGCCCGAAATCACCTGAAATATATCAAGTCGAAATATATACAGTCAGTAGTTGAAACTGCTGCTGGGTATTTTGCTTTACCATAGTCTTGACGCAACTGATTCTCTAAATTTGATAATTCTAAATTCCAATTACTGAAACAACTCTAAATTTTTTTTTTTACATTAATGCTTGCTCTAGACGCAGTAAGACCAATGAGTGAACTTTTCTGCATTTCCAAAAAAATTTCAACAGATGACCAAAAATGTAAATCTCGTATCAGAGAAATTTGAATTATTATACTTTAAAAATTCATTCTGTGGTCTCACGGATCGAGGTGGTTCCAATTTTAAAATACAAAATTACGAAATAACCAAAGTAAACTTTCTATAACACTCGATGCCTGGAACAATTCTCTACCAAGATTCTATTTTTTTAAATTTTCGACTTTTAAAAATCTTCAAACATTTTCGAAAATGTGAGTTTGAATATGACAAAGATCTATAATCTACCAATAGGAAGTAGAAGATCTTCAGAATCTCGACCAAGCAGCAATTTCTTGTAATATTATAAACTCCAGCGCTTTTTTCCATGATATTACGAAATAGAATTTTATCGTGTAGATTAATTTAAAAAAAAAAACAAAAAAAAAAGAAAAAAATGGCAAACTAAATGTAGCGTCAAAGTTGATCCTTGATAGATTAAAAACATACGTTAGGTTGAATGGATGCGTCGGCTACTCTCAGTCCTTTGATACCGTGTACTTCGAGTCGATTATTCACTACGGTCAACGGATCTGTACGCGAACCCATTCTGTTGGTACCGGTCTGGTGATTTTCTGGCCTCGTGTTCCACTGTATAGCGCAGTTCCAGAAATCGTCGCTGTCTTGTTCGAATTCGCTACACTGTGATATATACTCCTCATAGTACGTCAGACCTATATTCTTCATCGTTGAAGAATTCGCTAATTGTTGGATCTTGCGGATTCCCTGTATCACGACGCTGCGATCGTGTTCAGTTCCCAAATCGTTGCTCCAGATGTGAGGTGGATCGAGAGGATTGTTGCTGTTCAACCTGATTCGACCTGGATACGGAATTCAGAGCGATAACAGTCGGACAAACGAGAACAAAGAACACGAAATTCTGTCTGCTTAGACTTGATAAAAAATTTCGAAAATATTTTGTGCCACCATTTCTTAAGATTGTGAACAACGTTTGGCGATGTTCTTTGAGAATAGATTCCGTTCAAAGTGAAAATAATGTTCGCGAGATTGAACAATCGAGACAACCTGCCATTGCTTCACATCATTTGATTTGTCTAGTAATTTCTGTTTTTAGTTTCATGACACTTTATGAATTATTTTCACGAATTTTGACGACACTAAAATCTGTCAAAGACGATTCTTAAAAATCATTCTTATAAACATCATCTTCCTCAAAATGAAAAGACAATGCCAGTTTACCTCTGCTCGTCGGGTGTACGTTGACCGACGACATCGTAATAGTCATCTTGTCGTCCTTGACGGCCAAGTCAGCGATAGCTAGTTTCGGTTTGCATATTGCTTGATAACCAGCAAAGAATATCTGAATATCCGGATCGGTCTCGTCCGTGAAATTCGACGCCAGCATTCCTGTAACTTGAGCGAGACCCGTGCCCGAAAGCGGCCCAGTCTGATTGTAGACGTACTCTTCCGTGCTGCTCGTGTTGAACATCATATAGAATGTTTCGTTTATCGTGAAGCTCAGACCGTGCGACTGATGGTTGTGAAGATTTTCACCGACACCCGGCAGATCCATCACCACGGGAATTTTCATGGACCTGAGATGTTCCTTGGGCCCGATTCCGGACAACATCAACAGCTTCGGCGAGTTGATCGTGCCGGCTGCGAGAATCACCTCGCGTTTCGCCGTTATCGAACGTCTCTTTCCATTCTGTGAACAAAAGCAAACGACGAAGTCGAGGAGTTGGACTGACAAACTGATAAACGTTCAAATTCGATACGACAAATTCGTACAATTAACACTTGGATGCCTCTCGCCCTCTTGCGGACTATGTTAACCTTCGTTACGGTGCCGTTTATGACTACGTGAAGATTCTTGCGGTGCGCGACCGGTGTGATGTACGATCTGACAGCGGTGGTCCTCACGCCGTTCTTGCTGATGGTTTGAGCCACCGTGAAACCTGTTCTGTTGTCTCCGGCCAAATCTTCAATAACGCCGAAACCAACTTCGTCTGCTGCTTTCATGATATCCTGAGCGAAGGGAGGCTGATACGGAAACCTGCCGAACATTCAGACGTCAATTCGAAACGATCACTGAAGGAATACTGTACTGTGTATTAAGTACACGATTAATCCACAAAGAACAATATTTAAGCCATGAAGCGAAATTATGAAACGTGGAATAATTCGCGATAAATATATAAGAATCTTATATTTATTGATATACGAAAGACTCGGAAGTCAATTGGAAAACTTGTACCATGCAAATATTCTTTGATATTAGATTGTATTCTATCAATGATATTTTAAATAGCAAAATTACAATATTTTTAATAATTTTAAATACTATATTCTAATAATTAGCAATGATATGACCATTCCTTTATACAACTTATTTAACAAATCTAGCTCTATAATTTTTGAATCTTCGAACGTGTCGTGATCCACGAAAATATTTGCACGATTCGTCTGCAATTGCACAACTATTAAACAATCTTGAACGATCGTATTTTTATGACACAGGCTCGACTGTTTCAATGTTCATCATTGAAAAGTGTTTTGAAATTTGTATCGCGCAGTCACATCAATCATTTAAGATCGGCGATCAACAGGATGCAAACATTTCTGTGGCTTACTGTCTATGAAGTGATGGATATTGGATTTCTGGTACCAAAGCAGGGTATATGTACACATTTTAGTATTCTACAAGCTCCGAAATTTGTATCGACAACAATGCCAATTAATCAAACTCAATTACCTCAACATACATCATCATTGAAAAGAAGATTATGAGATCTGTGCCGTGAAATCACGTCGGTCATTTAAAATCGACATCATTTCTGTGATTAACTGTGACGAAGGTTATTCCCCGCCGGCTGAAACGTATTTTGATGCTCCACAAATGAAAACAAAAAGAACAAATTTATAAGAAAATTTCGCGATTTTCGGTGTCGATTTCTTTTTTTTTTTTTTCTTCACGAATGATTTCGAAAGATGAATTGAAAATCAGACTCTGTCATTAACTTATATTCTCCATCATACAAAAAAGATGCATCCCGTGAACAAGCAAATGCACGAATAAATAAATAACTATGACTGCAAAAAGTATTTCGAATCAACGAACCGTTCCACGTCCAAAGGACCTCCGACACTGTGATATCTATTTCCCACCCTCTCGATTTCCCTGTTATTCTCCGACTTGAGATAATACGGCAACACCTGAAGAAGAAGAAAAGAAAGCATCGTGTGACAAACGTGTAGACGGATTTTCTTTTCGATCCGTATGCAATGGCAGTGATATCGACGGAGAAACGTACGTCATCCCAGCCCCATCCTTCGGCTCCCTGTTCCACCCATCGATCGTAATCATTCGGATGACCTCGATGATACGCCATGCCATGGTGAAGCGTCGTGCCTCCGAGATTTTTTCCCCGAGGCCACGGGCAACGTCCACCCTCCGCGAGACAGGCGTGCTTCTCGTCCGACGTTTTGTAGTTCCAGTCCAGTTCACCGCCTGCGAATGTCACATGTTTTCGTGTGATTTAATTTGACTCTTCATTCACTCATTTTCTCAGAATTCTTCGTATTTCTCGTACGCTTTATTTTATCGCATATTGCATATATGATTTTATTGCAG